AGACAGACAGACAGACAGACAGACAGATCGATAGATAAACTTTATTTCAACTCGGGATGATGAGGCTGATTAGGCCTCTAGCAAGATTATGCTAATTTACCGAGAAAAATAACTTTAAACGAAAGAAAATTGAAATTAAAAAATTACAAGAGGTAAAAGAGGTAAAATTACAAAATTACATCAGGCTGGATGGAGCTGAAAAAGCATAGTTTATTTCAGAGCAATCTATGAAGTGGTTCTGTTACATGTGGTTTATGTTAACAATTTTCAGGTGAAGAACTTGATGACTGGATAAAAGCTCAAAACTGGACAATCAAGGACGACGGAAAAGTATATGTTTGCAACCAGGAAGCTCATATCAAGTCCAAGAATATTGCAGAGAAAATTGACTTTGAGAGTAAGTTCTACTGACCAATTAAATGAAAAAATTATGAATGACACTATTTTTCCTTGATCAACACATAAAGCAGAGGAAATAAGAAATTTTGAGGAAACTCATCAATTTGGGGATATTGCTTTGATGTGCCGAGTTCTCATTTGCACATTTCAAGACACTATGCGCTCAACAAAACTGCAATCTTATGCATGAGGGGAGAGATGGGTGGGGTTTTACAGTCCTGTTGCCCAGTTATGTCCACTCACTTAACGGTTGCGACTACAAAAAAAGCCGCTTACCGCGTGTAAGTGTTCTGTAGAGTCTCGTCTCACAAACCGAGTTTAATGTCGTTATTTTTCAGGTGTTGCTGGGATAATTGCCGCGGCCAAGTAGAAGTTTCGCGCTGATAACTTATTTCCACGTCTGATGTTACTTCTGGTTTCTGTATTTACCGAGTCTGCTGAGAAAATAAAACCAGTTTACCAATGGTTGTAGCAGTATCAATTCTAACCGTAAAGTCTTCAACAAAAACATTTGTGCTGCGATTCCCGTTGAAGGTGTTTTTCGTAAAACAATGTTACGTCATGAGAATGTTAGTAAAGCGCCGCATTTTTCGGCTGCGTAAAACACCGGCCGGAAATCCGTCTGGGTTAGCAGCCTTCCAGAAGCGGAAAAGAACTTTCTGATGGCCAACAGCCTGACCAGTGTTGTATTTTTCTGACTGTAAGAGACGTTTTTGCCTTTTTACTAGTGCTTTCTTGTTGGTTAGAAGCGTTGAGAATATATATCAATTTCTTTTAACTGGACTTATAAACGGGAAATCTTATACTCGGGTATTGAAAGCGAGCTTAGAAAACGGAATGTTATGAGCCGGTAACTGGGTAAGAAAGAAACTGAGGCTAATTAAAGGGTCACCCTAGGGATTCGTTCCACAGAATTCCCGCAAGGTTTCCCGCGAGCTAGAAAAAATTATTAGGTGGACTAGCTTCGAAATGTGCTATGTCTCTTGGAAAATTCTTCTTCTGTAACAGGGGGTTGAAACGCTGTTGAGTTACTCTGATAAGCGCCGCTAAATTAAATATCCATTCCAGACATAACCTCTTTTTGCCCTGAAGGTGAAATTTCTGACCTTTTGCTTGTCGTCTCGCCGATCACTGCTAGGAAAATGTTCAAATATGTCTAGTTCATTTTCAGGGCCGTTGCACTGCTCATTTAACGTTTTCTCTGCTACGTTCTCGTTGTCGATGCCATAGGAAGTTCCCCGTCTGACTGATCCTATAACTGAAGAGAAGGGGCTAGGAAGTCAAATATAATTTGCACAGCCGCCATTAAACCACTAGGCCTTGTTTATTTATTGATAACGTCAAAGAATACAAGAATCAGATAGTATTCCGTCCGCCAGTCAACACCCTTTGTACGGGGTGCTACCTTCTACTCGGAGTACCTTGTTTCCCCACAATTGCTTGACTTGAATGTACTGTTTCTAAATAAAGGTCGTATTTTACGGGGTGGGGTCGTCAACCACACGTCCAACCCTCCTCCTTTATCCGGGCTTGGGACCGGCTAGATATTCCTAAGGAACGTCTAGGCGGAGTTAAATACAAGTAGGATAAGTTTATCAGTATAGCGCAAGAATATGTTCAGTGAAGAAGTAAAGCGTTCCCTTGTATGTTCTTTAAATAAACGCAAAATTGTTCCTAACCGAGGTAAGGACGTAAGATGTCGTGTAACCTGAAAAAGAACTCAAAAAATGTTTTGAAGGCAACGGGCACAAAACCTAGTGACCTCTGAGAATATGGACGGAAATAAAATCTTGTAAAATATAGATAAAAGGATGGCATTGAAGACTTATGTCACATAATAGTTGATACAAACTGGGTGGCACCAAGCTAGTAGGTAAGAAAGAAAATTCAAGAAGAGAATGCATACTTGACACGCAAGGCAGTACGAGTATGGCTTTGATTTTCGATTGAAACAATTGTCAACGTTTCCGATCATTAAGCGAAAAAAAAATGAATTTAAGGCGCAACCTTTCCTGGGGACCGGCGATTGGCAAATACAAACCCTGGGTAGAAAATGAAAAACGTTGACAGAAAAGCAGCGATAAAAGAAAGCACGAAAAAGGCACACATGTGACGACGTAATCTTGTCATTACATTCAAAAGAACGGGAGAAAAAGAGTTTAAAATATCCGGAACAATCCAAGGAAAGGGGAAGTACATCAAAATAACAACTTTACGACAGTCGCAGGGTTTCCTAAGTATATGCTTTCATTATGGAGGAATATCAAAACCGTGACTGCTTTTTTATTAAAACGTCGAAGTTTCTACCAAATCTACGACTTTACAGATCCAGAAGCTCCGGATGCCATTTTGTTTATGGACTGGAATGTTTGGTTACGTTTACGTTTCCCAGAGGCTAACTGATCTCTTTTGAGACCTCGGCTTTATTATTAGGTGTAGGTTTTTGATTGAATTGTATTTTACTTTTAGAGGGCCACAAGTTTGTATGTAATTTTAATTACTGTTGAGTGTTACCCTCATAAAATAAAGTTTCTTACTTACATTCATGGCCTCGATTTCCCAGAGCCCTCGCATCACAAAAAGTAAGGTTCTGGGCTCGAGACTGCTCTCCTTTCCTTCATCATGCCATAAGATTGAACACGATCACACGTGACGGAGGAATTTTGAAGTCTGGTTTTGAAATCTTTCTTAGATGGCGTTATTTTTCGTCGCGTTAGAAATTTGTTGGTGTCGCGGAATCAATTCCCTAGACCGTGACAAAAAATGGTAATAAAAAACATTCACAAGGGTCAAAGTAGGCTGAATTATGTTCAGCACGATTACGTAGCACGGCAGGCCTTGTCCATGCCGCGCGGTATTAGCACGACTTGGCCTCAAACGGCGTGCTCTTGCCGTGCCCAACTGAATTCACAGCTTACTGCATCGGCTGCCGCTGCTTTCTACCATTTCAAATGGCCTTCAGCAAAGCAAACTTCTTCCGATCTTCCGCGACTGGATGAAATTCGACGTTTGAAACCACTGCCGCTCTTTTGTCATGTCACTGCTGGGCCAAATTCATTTGAGTTTGGCACGGCATCAGCACGACGTTTGGCCTTACAACCTTCGATCTATACTTACCCAATCATTCCCGACTGTCTATATAACGAGTTTAATTGGCAAGCAAAAAAAAAAGGGCGTGGTTAAAACAAATCAGCGCTTAAGAATATTGTCATCTTCAAACTGTACTCCACAAATAAAGTTTAAGATATAACGCAAGAGGATCCTTAACTTTTTGTTTCGCATTGAAACAACAACTCACAGGGTTGCTCTAATTGGTGAATAGAGCTCCCGACTATTCGAAGCTCGCGTTTGGATGCGATTCTCTCTTAGAAATGGATTAATTAAGTTTAATCAAGTTTCTCCGGGGTCACTTGGTTAAGGAAAGATAATGCTGTCATCACAATATTAGGGTTTAGAGTCTTTTCATTAGAATAGAGTCTGGGTATTCCATGCTGTCCAACAAGAGCGCCGCGCGAGCGTGAGACACTCGCGACCAGGGCTTAAGACCAGAGCACGAACAGGGTTATCTATCGTTTTTAACCAGGCTTGAGCAAGATTTTGATGACGTGTCTGTCAATTTATTTTCCGAGATTGGGGCCAGCTAGAAAAGACAGGACAAAGGCAGACAGAGAATTTAAATCCCCTGCGAGATTCGAGAAATGCCAAACCACCTTTTGTCTTACGATTCTTTCAGCAGATGGTCTCCAGACTAAGAGAACCAAAGGCTCTGAGACTAGAGCTGTGACCATTATTGTTCCCGGAGCCCATGTGTGTGTCAGCCGACGGAGCCTAAGCATATAAGAAAGAAAGGCTCGCCTGGATGGGTTTGGTTATTTGCACATAACTTCCTTTAGATGGTTTGGCTTTGTTTATAACACTGTGGGATTTCTCGGCAACGATTTCTGTAAATGGTCAGTGTAGTTCTCTTTGCAACATAGGAAATGTGCATGATAAA